TCAGTCACTAGGGAGTCAACATTTTATCTGTTCTCTCCAAAACAGGTCTTGAAAAATTCAAAAGGAAAAAAGGCAAGAGCACTTTAAGCAACGTCTTCTACAGGTGACTAGGAACACTGAGGTTCTAGAGGATACCTGACAGCTGGCTGCAACGTCTGGGCAGGATCCGCGCAGTCTGACGGGAAAGAAATCTCAAGGGGCCGGAGGTAGGATCTTAGTTCTCAACTGCAGAAGAGTCAGGCTGCAGCTCCTTTCGCTTCTTGGTTACCACCGCCCAAAGCGGAAACTCATGTGTCCGGAAGCAGTTTTATTTAAATATTCACTTTTCCTAGGCGTATATTTAATGTCTTTCCTGCTCTGTCCTGGTGTGGCGCTGTAGGACAAGCACTGGACTGCTAACTGGAAGGTCAGTGGTTCAAATCCACAACTGCTTCTCGGAACTCCTATACAGGGTTGCTATGGGTTGGAAATGACTCTACGGCATTTAACAAAAACAAAAATACTCCGGTAAAGTAGCCCCGGTGGCGCAATGTTTAAACGCTCCGCTGATAACCGAAAGGGTGGCCCAACCCAACCAGGAGGTCTATGGGAGAAAAGAACTGACAATCTGCTCTTGTAGAGATTCTTATTGTTGTTAAGTGCGGTTGAGTCATTTTCATCTCATAGTGACCCTTTATAGGGTTTTCGAGGCTGTAAATCTTTGAGGAAGCAGAAAGCCTCATCTTTCTCCCTGAGAAGCACCTGGTGAGCTCAAACCAACATCTTGTGATTCGCACACAGTCCAGTGTTTATCGTGTGGAACCACTGAGCTCCAGCTTGTAAAGATTATAGCCTAGAAAACCCCATCAGGCAATTCTACTCTGTCACATAGGGCCCCTATGAGTCCTAATCAATTCCACGTACTCAACAACAATATGCAAGTGGCCCAAAGTCAACAAGTGTGCCAATTTGAGCCCTAGTTTTCTGAGATGTGGCACACTCCAGACCTGTGGTTCCCTTACAGTTCTCAGAAGTGATAGTAAAAGAAAGGTGGGGGTTCTATAAGGAACCCACTGAATTTCTGTTAATGGTAGAATCATTTGGGAAAAGATAGCAATAATGGTTGTACAACATGATAAACGTAATCACTAAATTATGCATGTAAAAACTGCTGGGGAAGTACAGCCAGAGTGCTTCTTGGAGGGGAGGATGCCGTGACTTCATCTCCTGTACTTTGGACACATCAAGAAGGACCAGGCCCTGGAAGAGGACATCATGCTTGTCCTGGTGTAGCACTGTAGGAGAAGCACTGGACTGCTTCAAACCCACCAGCTGCTCCTTGGAAACCCTTTACAGGGTTGCTATGAGTCCAAGTGAACTCGAAGACAATACTTACCAGTAATAACAACAGGAGCAGAGGCCCCTGGGACCACCAAGGGAGAAGAGCGGAGAGCAGAACCCTACCCAAAGAAGCAGTGACACCAGATATGGAGGCAGAAACAATGAAGGAAAGGGGCTGTAAGCTGACAACCAGGGAGCAGGCTTGCAGGGTAAACCCTTTGGTTGGTTGATGGTGCATGAAGGGGATTGTAACCATGGCAATGAAACGATATATGATAGGATGAATGTAAAGCTAATGTTCTGCCATGTAAACTATCACATAATTCACAATAAAACATTTTTTAAAAAGTATTACTGGTGACAAGACATGATGGATTCATCATCACAAGCCTAAGAGTAAACAGCACAGTATAGAATGGAAACATCTTCAACTGCCAGCCAAGAAAAAATTCAAAAGTCAACCATCAACTGGAAAATTGATGCTTACAGCTTTTTTGAAATTTTCAAGGACCAGTATTGCAACACTATTAGGAAACAGGTTCAACAATCAACATTCTCTTTACAGTGAGATGCTCCCTGAAGAGCTGAACCTCAACTTCAGATTGAATGCAGACGACTGCTATCCAAGGGCATTGTGATCTCGCATGACAATGCATGTCCACATACATCTACCCACACTATTGACACTGCAAAAACTACATTGTGAGGTGTTAAAGCATCCTCCTTATGGTACTGATCTTGGTCCATCATACCTTGATCTATTTGGTCCCCTAAAAGCAGCCCTTTGAGGACAAAGATTCACCTTTGATGAAGTGAAGATAGTGATACATTCATGGCTTGCAACTCTGCTTAAAACCTTTTCTTTAATAAGGGAATATGAAAGCTTGTTGACAGTTGGACAAAGTGTATTGAAAAGCAAGGAGATTGTGTTGGAAAATTATGTATTTGTCTTTTCTAAAAGTTTATTTAAAAAAAAAAAAAGCTTTGTAACATTGCTTGTGGGCATGGTAGAGGAGAAGCTGTCCTGACTAGAAGAATTGTACCCTGAGCATTTCTGACCCTGAACTGAAACCTGTTAACTTCCCTAACAAACCCCATAACTGTGAAAAAAAATTGTTGGATTGGTTATTGTTTTATTATATATTTTTTTTTACCACACACACACCCAAAATGTCAGGAAAGAAAAATTTTTAAGGCCTAAAGAATACAGAATAATTTACAGTTGAAAATACAAAATTTATTTCTTAAAACCTTTTGCTTAAGTTATTTTGGGTTGAAGTCGTGAATTTGATAAATTAAGCACTGTTTCTTTTATACTAAAGCAATGTGTTTAATTAAAAGAGTACCAACAGCCTATACAAATGAAGAAAGTTGTAATTATATGGAGTTTTAGGGAATATCTATTGTCTGTCACCAGATCAATTGACTACACAAAGGCATTTGACTGTGTGGATCATAACACAAGTATGAGTAACAATGTGAAGAATGGGAATTTCAGAGCATTTAAATGTGTTCATGCTGAATCTATACACAGACCAAGAGGTGGTCCTTAGAACAAGGGGATATTGTATGGTTTAAAATCAGGAAAGGTGTATGCAAGGGTTGTATCCTTTCACCATATTTATTCAATCTGTATACTCATCAAATAATCTGAGAAACTGGATTATATGTAGAAGGATGTGGCATCGGCATTGAAGGAAGACTCATTAACAACCTGTGATATGCAGAAGATACAACCTTGATTGCTAAAAGCAAGAGAACTTGAAGCACTCATGGATGAAGGTCAAAGACTACAGGCTTCAGTATGGCTTACACCTCATCATACAGAAAACAAAAATCCTTACAATTGTAGTAGTAAGTAACAGCATGATAAATGGAGAAAGTATTGAAGTTGTTAAGAATTTCATTTTTGTTGGATCCACAGTCAATGTCCATGGAAGCAACATATGATGTATTTCATTGTGTAAATCTTCTGCAAAAGAGCTCTTTCATGTGTACACAAAACAAAGATGTCACTTTGAGGACTAAGGAGCACTTGACCCAAGCCATGGTCTTTTCAATAGCCCCATATGCATATGCAAGCTGAATAATGATTGAGAAAGACCAAAGAAGAACCAATACATTTGAATTCTGGTGTTGTGTATACTGAATATATCATGGATTATCAGAAGAATAGCCAAATCTGTCTTGGAAGATGTACAGCCAAAATGCATTTTAGAAGTAAGAGTGGCAAAGCTTTGTTTAATGTACTTTGGGTATGTTACTAGAAGGAACCAGTCCCTGGAGAAGAACACTATGCTTAGTCAAGTAAAGGGTCCACAAGGAAGAGTAAGAAGACCCTCAGTGAGATGGATTGACACAGTAGCTGTAATAATTGGATCAAATATAACAACAATTGTGAGGATAGTGCAGAGCGAGGCAGTGTTTTGTTGTGTTGTACACAGGGTCCATTTGAGTTGGAACTGACTCGACAGAACCTAACAACAAAGCATCATTTCTACATATATCCTTGCCTCCCTATCTAGTCTCTTTTGTTGTTGTTGTTTCCTTTTGATTGAGCTTCACAACATGGAGTTTTCCATCATTAATATGCCTACCATTCATCTGGATCTTCTTTAATGTCTTAATAACATTTTACGGTCTCCCTCCATCCCGACTTCCCCACCACACACACGTTAGTTCACAGAAAAGAGTCAAAGAACATTATTATCTCTTTCAGAATGAATTTACTCCATGAATTTTTTAATTCCTTACCCCCAATTTTAGGAAATTGTTGTTTTTAAGCGCCATCGAGTCGGTTCTGACTCATAGCAACCCTGTACAGGGTTTCCAAGGAACAGCTGGTGGATTTGAACTGCCAACCTTATGGTTCACAGTCCAGTGCTGATCCTACAGGGCATACCAGGAGTCAGCCATGATAATTTACACAGTCCTTACTAGAAACTCATGAAAAAGGCACTTTCAGATTTTGGTGTACTACAACTATACGGAGACGCCCAGGTGGCGTAGTGGGTTATGAGTCAGGCTGCTAACCTCAGAGTCGGGAGTTGGAATCTACCTGCTACTCCACAGGAGAAAGATGCCTTCTGCTCCCGTAAAAAGATTTACAGCCTCAGAAATCCTATACAGGGTCACTATGAGTCAGAACGTATTCCATGGAACACAACCACCATCGCAACAACTATAAGGAGTCCCGGTGTGGTGCTGTAGGACAAGCACTGGTCTGCTAACCACAAGGTCAACGGTTCAAACCCATCAACCATTCCTAGGAAACCCTCTACAGAGATGGTCACTGTGACTTGGTACAGTCCCAACAGCACTTAACAACAACAACAACTTCTATAAGGAAGGAGCACCACTGGTATAGGGGGTTATGCTTTGGGCTGCTAATTGCAAGGCCAGCTGTTCAAATCCACCAACTGCTCCATGGGAGGAAGATGAGGCTTTCTGTTCCTGTAAAGAATTACAGCCTCAGAAATCCTACACAGGGTTGCTATGGGTTGTAACCAACTCGACAACACAAAACAAGTGTAAGAGATCATTGATATTAGGAGTTTTGCCCATAAACTCAAGTCATATGAGGACAAGAGTATGAGGCCTGATTATCAGTAGCCAGCATCCTCATACCCAAGAGAGTCATTTCTTTCTCACTAGAATCGATGGTGCTCTGACAACCCCAAATCAGAGCTCTGTTTTGGGTTGTGTTGCTGAATACTTGGGTGCCAGTTCTTTAATGAGATTCACATAGTCTGCCTTTTCCGCACAGGCCCTGCACTCTTCTCCCCAGCTGGACAGGATGTGTTTCAGCTCCACTACTCTCATCTTCCTCAGGTCTGCTGAAGCCAGGTCCAATCGCTTTTCTAAATAACAAAAGGAAAAAACCAAGAACTATGGAAACAGAAAGGCAAATCGTGCTACTGTTGTTGGTGCTGACAACCCCTAGGATCCAAACTGGAGAACTAAAATATACCTCAAGGAAATCGATTATGTGCAAAGCTATTAGGATTCTTAGCATCCCATCAGAGTTCTTTCTCTGAGAAATGATCTTTGCTTCAGAACAGGGACGTCTGTGTTTTTGCAGTGCTTGCTGATACTCCATAGAGTCCTATAGGTCAGCATTCCTAAAATGAATAATTGTATAGCACTGTAAGATAAAGCATGGGGCTGCAAGGTTGGTTTAGAACCACAAGGTTGGCAGTTCAAACGCACCAGGTACTCCTCAGAAACCCTATAAAAGTAGCGATTGTTGTTAAGCGTACTTGAGTCAATTTTGACTCATAGCAACCCTGTATAGGGTTTCTGAGGAGTGGCTGGTGAGTTTGAACCACTGACCTTGCTGTTCAAACTGACCTTGCACTCCAGTGCATTATCCCATAGTGCCATACCAGGTCTCCTTATAGGAGGGGTCTGAACCTTTTGTCTGCCAAAATCTATAACATAATTTGTGGGCCATACAAAATTATCAACTTAAAAATTAGCATGCTATATTTGGTCAGATATTTAACTCACCCCTAATGTGATGGCTGGAACTCAGGTTGCCTCCATAGGGCCAGACCAAATGATTTTGTGGGCCTGGCACGTAACAACAACAACAACATATGACCAGTGGGCCAGGTGTTACCCACATGTTATACAAGGTCTCTATGAGTCGGAACCCACTCGATGGCACTTAGAAACAACAACAAAAATGTAAAAAGAAGGAAATACATCAGTGCCTTGGGAAAAATCTTGTGTGCAGTCAACTAAAAGTTATAGACTGTGATTAAATACAAAGTTAGACTTAAATTTTTACACAAATATTGGCCTTTACTAAGACAGATATGCATTAAAGAAAAGTTGAAAGAAAGTGGATAAATTTAAGACCCTTTTCACTGATCCTTGCTCCCTGATTAAATTAACCTGATTCATCTGGACCTATTGGGATTATTATCAGAGCCTTCATTTAAAGCCCTTTGTGCTACACTAAAGGAGTCCTGGTGGCACAATGGTTAAAACACTAAGCTGCAACCTGAAAGGTCCTTGGTTCGAACCCACCAGCCATTCCACCGGAGGACAATATGGCGGTTCTTTCCATAAAGATGAAACCCTATGGGGCAGTTCCACTTTTTCCTACAGGGTGGCCACGAGTTAGAATAGATTTGACAGCAGAAGGCTTGAGTTCATGATACACTCATTTTGGTTATGCCACTGCCTTGATGCCAGCCTTGGCTCCGAAAAATTTTTTCTCCAACCTCCCTCCAACTTCTCTAACAAAACCACACTTTTGAGATTATAGATTATCTATGGAAAACCTTAAGAACTCTGCTATTTCTCTACTGACAAGTCAAAAATAGAAAAAAATTAGGCTTGTTATAATATACTCCTGATTATAATTTCTCTGCCAGAGGAGATGAGTCAGGGGTTTGCTGGAATGGGAAGACAACATTTAAGTTTACTTGTAAAACAATCAGTAGCACCCCAGGTTTCTTCAGCTTCAATTCTGCCCAGCAGAAAGTAGTGTTTAAAACTCTTTTGAAAATCTGATATAGTTGTCAAGTGATTTATTTTTTAAATCCCAATAAGTGTGTTCTAATTTAAAAGCTGAATTCTTAAGGCTTTTTCTTTTGTGGGTCAGCTACACCATGTGTTCCAGAGAACCCTTCAATTTTTATAGTGACCCTCTCCTTTTATGAAACAAAGACACCAAACCCTCTTGCAGATCAGAAACTGTATGACACCTTCCAAATTTAAAACATCATCCAACTCCACACTTACCTTGTCTGTTAATTTCAACTTGAAAGAAGACCTTTTAAAGTAACAACTTTTATAGCCCGTTTCATTAACATCACACAACTTAAAAGGCCCCTGTTCCATCTCAATTTTCTTGCCACCAATAAGCTAGGAAGAAGCATTTTATACTGTGGCTCTGTTCTTGTATTTCTTGTAAATGTCAGGAGTGTCTCTCAATTCTTCTGGAGAATTTGGCACCTGGCATTAATTTTTTTAAAAAACTCTGTGACACTCTAAAACTACAAAGAAAAGGCCAATACAAAAATTAAAACTAGTTCATGGTTCCCCAAGGGCCTCTAGTGGCCAGTATTGCCCACACATTAGTAAATACTCAGTTCTTCTCAATGTCTGATTAGCCCAGAAAGAGTTTTTGCATATAGTAGAAGTTATTCAAAATAAAGGTGTTGAATAAAAGAATCAGTACAGTTTGCTCCTTTGGTGAATATTGTTTACGTGGACTCAGTGATTCCTGCCTCTGTTTCATTACTTTGAAGCCAATAAAAAGGGATACCTATTCTATAATCACTACCCTGGAAGTTAAACCCTGCCCTTGGCACATTGAAAAATAGGTCATCTTTGGTATCTTCCAGCTTTAAACCTATTTAAAGCAAGCTATGTCGTTAGGGTATGTTGGCACATTATATACTGCTATGCTGGGAAAGAACTCAGTTAGGTGCTAATTACTACAGGAATTCTTTAGGTATATAGCAGAAAAAAAAGTGGTTTCAGCAAAAGGAAGAAATCTCTTCCGGTGAAACTTTGGGTGTTAAGGATACGCCCAGGAGGACCTGGCCAGTCTTTCATCATACTTAACCAATGTCTCCAAAAGAGTGGCTCAGACACAATCATTGAGTATAAGAACAGATCTATGTAGGTGAAAAGTATAAAGCCAAAGAAGTTTTAAACAGGGCATCTCCTGTTCTCCTTCCTAGTTATTTTAGGCACTCCCGATTAAGGCTATTTCATTGGGCAAAAGATTTAATGGACAAATCTACCACCACCTGTCTGTCAGTTTGTCGTACTGTGGTGGCTTGTGAGTTGCTGTGATTCTGAAAGCGATCCCACCAGTATTTTAAATACCAGCAGGGTCATCCACAGTGGACAGGTTTCAGATGAGCTTCTAGGTGAAGACAGACTAGGAAGGAGTAACAAACTACTTCTGAATATTTAGTCACTAAAAACCTTATGAATAGCAGATAAATACTGTCATATATAGATATGCTGGAAAATGAGCCCCTCAGGTTGGAAGGCACTCAAAACTCAAGCATGCCAACAGCAGTGAGGTTGGCCCAGGATCGGGCAGTGTTTCATTCTGCTGTGCATAGGGTCGCTATGAGTCGGCACTGACTCGATGGCACCTAACAACAAAACAACCTCCAAAAGTTTAAAGCTGGTAGGTAGAACACTAGCCATGCCTAGGGAAACAAGATAAAGTCTCATTTACATCTTTGAATAGATGCACCTTTGTCTCAATAGGTTACCAAGCACTGCTGTTATGGTTAGTTGCCATGGAGTCAATGCCCACTCTTGGCGACACCCTGTGTGCAGAGTAGAACTGCTCCATAGGGTTTTCAAGGCTGTGACCTCACAGAAGCACACTGCCAGGTCTGTCTTCCCAGGAGCCTCTTGGTGGGGTCGAACCATCAATTTTGGGGCTAGGCGTCAAGTGCTTAACCTTCTGTACCATCCAGGGACCCATTATTAAGAAGTGTTGTTGCTGCTCTGCTGTTGTTATGATTAAGTGTCATCAAGTAGTTCTAACTCATAGTGACCCTGTATAGGGTTTCCAAGGAGCTGTTGGTGGGTTTAAATTGGCAATCTTGCAGTTAGCAGTCCAGTGTCAAACCTACAGCACCACACCAAGATTCCTTATTAAGAAATTTTGTTGTAGTTAAGTACCTTTGAGTTGGTTCCTACTCATAGAGACTCTCTGTAGGGTTTCCAAGGCTTTTTAAATCTTTGCAGGAGCAGAATGCCTCATCTTTCTCCCGTGGAGCAACCGGAGGGCTTGAACCACAGACCTTGTGGTTCAAAGTCTAGTGTTTATTGTATTGAGCCACCTTGCTTCCTAATTAAGAACTAAATTATCCTGTTGTCTTTTAAATTTTTCCATGACATACAAATGACTTTGGTCATTTAAACTTTTAATCTGACAGTACTATATAGTCTTTTTCACTTACAGAAGCTCAGTAACACTAGGCACCACTCATCAGCTCAGAATCCCTTTGGTGAGTCAAGGAGTGCCTTCTTTTCTAACAATGACTTATTAGAAAGCATGGCCATAGAGTTCTGATAATAAATATAATACTTAAACTTAGAGCGCTGGTAATATTTTCCCATACATAATAGAACAAAACACTTGACTCCATTATACCATATTTCAGCTCACAGATCTGGCCATCAATCTTCTTCAGCTTCTCACAAATCTTCGTAGCAGGTATATGCACACTCATTGGGCGAGTGACTTCACTTAGGATCTTTGTGGCTGCGTCTTCCGTTGCTCCTAGATAATAGCACTGAAGGAGAATAAGGAAAATTTAGTGGGCAGAGAAAGGGGGAGCGCTAGTGTATTCAGAAATAAGAAAAAGATAAACCCAATTTTCATGGTCCAGCTATTCAATTTTATCCCCATTTGACATAGACAACAGAAAACAAGCTGCTTCACTGCTGTGATCATCTTAATTAGAAGAGACTATACAGTTCACGTGATGCTAGAAGAATGCTGTTGTGTTTTCTCTGTGCTGCTCCCAGGGCTTTCAAGGTATTTGTTTATTTCATTCTTGTATCAATCTTGCAAAGTAATTATTATTGTTATCCCCCATTTTATACCTTGGTCAAATGAAGGCTGCCCAACTAACAAGAAAAAGAGACAATTCCAAATCTAGCATTTAGTCTTCAAGTGCATATGCCTTTTTTTCTATCGTGTTTATGCTGCCTTTTAAGCTACCTGACTATTTTTGCATTGTAAAGTGTCAGAAACAATGGCAAAAACAAATGGCATAAGTGTTACTACAATGTGTAAAACAATGTGGTGGGCAGTGTATAACACAAGTTCAACATGAAAATTTTAGGTAAAATATTCTTTTAGTGATGTATGAGAGTAAGTCAAAAAGCATTGCTGCAAAGTCATCGACATTTTATTGAAGAAAAATATCAAAGTGTGAAGCTACTGTTTCTTTACATATCCTCCAGCTAAGTCTATACACTCCTGAAGGGAGTTATATCCATTTCTCTAACCCTTTCTCAAAGAATTCTGTGCTGTTGGATTTATACCACATCAAAACAGCAGTTTTGGCATCCTCTGCGGAGTCCTGGTGTGGCACTGTGGGATAATGCGCCAGACTGCAAAGCCGTTTGAACTACAAGGTCGGCAGTTCAAGTTCACCATGTGCTCCTTGGAAACCCTATACAGGGTCGCTATGGGTTGGAATCAACTCAACAGCACTTAACAACAACAAGGAACTCCAATCGTGTTCCTTTGCAATGTTCTTTGAAGTCTGGGAACAAAATGAAGTCTAAGGAGCAAGATCAGGGTCGAAGGGTAGATGAGGTAAAAATTCTTCTGGGACAATCCTAGCTTCTTTCTAAGAATGAGCAGGTACCTTGTTATCATGGGAAAACATTCCTCAGTGCATCTTTATTGGCCTTTTTCTCACCAACACAGTCTGTGATTTTCTTAAAACTTCCTACTAAGACCCCATAATCATGCTGTCCTTCAAAATGATCAAAATTATCCCTTTGGATTTCCAAAAAAAGTCAGCATAACCTTCTGAGCTCACCTTTCTGCCATGGACGAAGTGGCACAGCACCCTAACAAAACTAAGGCTAAGTGAATTACTGAGAGAATTTCGCTGCAGTCACCAACTTATGGCAGAGACATGTGTAACCACATTTTTTTGGAATAAACCCATGCATGTATGAATTGGAGCAATACTTTTGATTTATCCTCATATAATGTTTAGTATACTAAAACAGGCCTGTGTGTATCACCAGGAAACACCCTATAAACACCACAGCAAACAAACATAAGCACCTGTGTAAATAATCATCAAAAAGGTCTTAGTGTCAGGGGTGGCACTGGTAAGCACCATCAAGTTGGTTCCAACTCATAGTGACCCTGTTTAGTGATTCTGTGGAGCGGTTGGTGGATTTGAACTGCCAACCTGTGGTTATCAGTCCACTGCTTAACCTACAGTGCCATACCAGGACTCCAAAAGATCTTAACAGACTTGACTAATTGTCTTGGTAGGAAATGGAAAGCATTCCCACTCTTAACTCAGGGCAGTCAATTCTTATTAGGGATTCAGTTTTATAATTTTGTCTAAGAAAATAGAATTACTTGCCTATGGTCTATTCAAAAAGCAAGTGAAACTGTATATACTCTAGAGGAAAATACATATGACTGCATTTCATGGGAAGGTCAATTTATATTGGCTGTCTACAATGAAATGCCCTAGGCAAGCATGTAAGCAGGAGAAACATCAAGTCCAAGATGAGAAATGAAACTATTAACAGTTTTCTTCAAGCACAAAGGAAAAATGAAAGGTGAAAATTTACCATACCAGGCGGTTTTCTTTTCCTTTGACATCCAAGCAAAAGCTGATCAATTCTTTTTCTATGAGATCCGCAGAAAAGTTAACTCCTTTGGCTATCAGAGAGTTGTAGAACCGGGTCAAGAATTCTTTACACACTAGAAGGAACAAAGATATTATATGTGTATACATAATATAACCGCTATCACATCCATCAACTACAACAGTTTGGTATGGTTTAAGGAATCATGTTGTCATTGTTGTTACCTGCTGTCAAGTTCACTCCCAATTCATGGCAACCTCATGTAAAACAAATCATTGTGAAGGAAACCACTGGGACTTTCTTTCTAGTCTTAGTTTGGAAGCTACTTCAAAACCCATTCAGCATTATAGCAACATGCAAGCCTCCACCAATGGATGAGGGTAGCTGTGAACAAACTTTGTTGACCAGGAATTGAACCCAGATCTCCCACGACAGGGGAACATTCTCTCATGGAGCTGCCAATGCTTTCCGGCATCATGATAATGGATTCAAATTGTTTTCTTCTGGGGTTAGCCAAATGTTATGGAAAAGTTTCTTATTATAGGTAGAACTTGATTCCAAAGATCGGTGGATTGATTGGTTGATTGAATCATTCATTCAGTAAGCTTACAATAAAGGTCCATTATATTAGAGGACTCCCACTAGAAACTAGAAAAAAAAAAAAAAATGGCACAATGTCATCAGAATTCAGATGGAAAAATATTTTCATTCTAGAATTCTGTATTTAAACTAATCAATTCATTAAATGTGAAAGTAAGTAAAGACATTTTCAGACACTTGTTGTTAAATGCCATCGAGTTAGATCAGACTCTTAGCCACCCTGTACAGGGCTTCCAAGGAGGAACTGGTGGGTTTGAACTGCCAACTCTGTGGTTTTACATGCATATGAAACTATTGTAAATATCATGGATTGGGTCAGGTACAACTGTAAGTCCTCAAACTGACATCTTTGCTCTTGAGAATTTTAAAAAGGTCGTGTGCAGCAGATTTGCCTAATGTAATATGTAATTTGATTTCTTCACCACTGTTTCCATAAGTGTTGATAGTGGATCCAAGCAAAAATAAACCAAACTCACTGCTGTCAAGTCGATTCTGACTCATAGCCACCCTATAGACGGGGGCAGATCATATCTGTCCTGTAGATTCATTTTATGAGTTGAAATTGACTCAAAGGTAATGAGTATTCTAGGAAAGGAAGGATAAGACACAACAAAGTAGGAGACACCCAGGAGTATGGGGTATAAAGTCCTAAAGTGGCAGGCCTCGGAAGATGCTGATCTCCGTTTGAGCAGGAGCACAGAGTCCCAGGAATTTTTTCACCAAGAAGAAAATGAAAGTAGTATAATCTGATATGGTTAATGTGTTCAGAGAGACTTTCCAGGTCTTTATTTTTTTTAACATGAGAATGAATTCGATTGGAACAAAATTTAATCAGAGGGAAAAAAATGGAAAGAATTACCTCAAAGGAGGGAAGGAGATGACCATGTGAGAAATGAAGTCCTGGCTCACTGGCTAACTCACCTTTGAATAAATTTATATGACCATAACAGTATAATCCCTGAAACTGATCTTTACCAAAAGTGATGACATAAATAGATGTAAAATAAGGGAAGAGATTTTTTTTTTTTTTTACTCTCTACAAGTTTTGGATTGCAATCAAAATTATTTTCCAATTTTTTTTTTCTTCCTTCTAGTCGTTTACTAGTTAAAAACTTAAGAGTTCCATGTTAAATGCCATTGAGTCAGTTCTGACCCATAGCAACCATGTATAGGGTTTCTAAGGAGCAGCTGATAGGTTTGAACTGCTGACCATGCAGTTAGCAGTCCAGGACTTATGTTATATTGTTGTTGTTAAGTGCTGGTGAGTCGATTCCAACCCATAGCGACCCTGTAAAGACTTTCCAAGGAGCAGCTGGTGAGCTTGAAACACTGACCTTGCAGTTCAAACAACTTCGAATCTGACACATTAGCCCACCACACCACACCAGGACTCCGCCCCCAAAAGCCTGTTGCCATAATATATTTGAATATGAATTCCGACTTACAGTGACGATATAGAACAGAGTTTAAACTGCAAGGTCGGTGGTTCAAACTCCTAGGAAATCCTATACAGAATCGCTATGAGTTGGAACCAACTCAGCGGCACTTATCAACAACATAGGGTTTCCTAAACTGTGTAGGATTTTGACTGAAAATGACAGTCATGTCTTTTTCCCATGGAGATGGTTCAAACCCCTAACCTTTTGTTGTTGTTGTTAAGTACCGTGGAGTTGGTTCCGACTCATAGTGTCCCTGCACAGGGTTTCCAAGGCTGTAAATCTCTACAGGAGCAGAACACCTAGTCTTTCTCCTGCGGAACGACTGGTAGTTTTGAACTGTTGACCTTGAGGTTGGCAGCCCAACTCATAACCACTATGCTACCAGAGCTCCTTCCTGACCTTTTATTTAGTAGGAAAGTGTTTAACCGCTATACCACTAGGGCTCCTTTCTAGTATCCAGATCGCTCTTCAGGCAAGCTGTGGGTTTTGACTTCTATTCCTTTCACACCAAAGGTTCGTTTTACTTTAACTGACAAAAATTCATTAAGCAAAATGACCAAAACTTAGTACGTCTCTCAGGATTGCTATTTTCCCTGAGATTTTGCCCGGTAAATTTATTTTGTCAGTTCATCAGTACTTTTATGATGTGCTTATATATTTCTTCAACGTTTTTTTTGTTGTTGTTGTTGCTGTTTTTTTAGGTTTGTTTGGCCAGGGGATTAGTATACTCTGATTTACTAATCTCCTAAAAATTTAACCAGCATGATACTTATTAAATGAAAGTTGGATCATTTTAGATCATCTGCTCAAAATTTTCCTATATTGTTTTCCATATTATTCTGAGGATAATCCAAAATCTTTACAACATCCTACAAGGCCTGCATAATCTGGGTCTCCACTGTCTCCCTATACTAAATTTCTGTCACTCTTTCCAACCTCAGCCACACTGCTCTATCCAGCTCACACCTAGTTTGGGTGTTCAATATGCTTTTTTGCTTTACTTTGCTTTTATTTTTTGCTGAATTAATAGATTCCTTCAAATCCATACTAAAAATACAGCTCAATAGAAAAATTGTTAAATGCATATACACTGGATTGAATGGTACAGCCCCAAACATTTATCTCTACACAGAACCTAAGAATGTAACCTTATTTGGAAATAGGTTCTTTGAGAATGAAATTCATTAAATTGACATGAGATTACCCCAAACCAAACCCATTGCTTATGAGTCATTTCTGACTTATGGCAACTATATGGGACAGATGGAACCATGGTAGCATAGTGGGTTATGAGTTGGGTTGCTAACCACAGGTCAGCAGTTGGAAGTCTACCACTCACTTTTCTCTCTTTGGGAAAAAGACGAGGCTTTCTGCTTCTATAAAGATTTAAAGCCTTGAAACCACATAGAGGGCTCTATATGAGTCAGAATCAACATGACAGCATGCAACTACCACCACCATATTGGACAGAGTAGAATTAACCCCACAGGGTTTTCAAAGTTGTAATCTTTATAGGAACAGATTGCCACATATTTCTTCTTAGGAGTGGCTGGTAGGTTAGAACCTCCCAACTTTCAGGTAGCAGCCAAGTACTTAACCACTGTATCACCAGCGCTTCTTTTTACTGAATTGGGACAAGTCCTGAATCTAATGACTGATGTCTTTATCATAGAAAGAAGATGCAGCCACACACAGGAAAGAAAGCCACACGGGAAGAAGGAAACAAATTGGAGTGATGCATTTGCAAGTCAAGAAATGTCAAGGATTTCTGGCAGATAAAAGCAAGGAGTCCTGGTGTGGCACTGTAAGATAAGCACTGGAATGCTTATCTTAAAGCCACAAGGTGGGTGAAGGACAAAGACAAGGCTTTCTGCTCCCACAAAAACCTATTGCCTCAGAAACCCTATACAGCATCCCTGTACAACAACAACTTAAAGCAAAGAGAATGGCATGGGCAGATTTCCCTCAGTCTACAGGAAAAACGAACTCTGTTTGACACCTTAATTTCAGTCTTCTGGCCTCCTTAACCATGAGAGAATAAATGATGTTGTTTTAAACCTCCAAGGTTGTGGTAATTTGTATGGTAGCCATAGGAAACTAATACACCCTTGGCCCCAATAATTCCCCTACTGTGATCTACAGAAATCATCACATTCAGGCTCAAGGAAGTGTGTATAAGAACATAGGAGCAACAGTAATTGAAATCATGAGAGGGTTTCAAAAAGTTCTTGAGAAATGGAATGAAAAGGTAATGGAATTTTCTCATGAAATTTTGAAGTCCCCTTGTATGTAACAGTAGGAAAAAACTTAACTGTCCCTCAAAGTGAAACTAGATGGTAAAATGCATGTCATTCATAAAATGGAATACTATTGTTATTAAGTGCTTTTGAAGCATTTCTGACTCACAGTAACACTGAATAGGATTTCCAAGGAGTGGCAGGTGGGTTTGTATCGCTAACCTTACAGTTAGCAGTGCAGTGTTTATCCTACAGCACCACACCAAGACTCCATATAGAAGAATTAAAAGAGATGAACCACGTCTACAACTATCAATGTGCACAGATCACTTAAACATAGAGTTAAGTGGAAAATGTTATAAATATGTACAGTGTAAATTTTATGGATATATATGTTAGAAGTAAAAAGTCTACAAAAGGGAAGAGAACCACACAGTAATTTTAGAATAAAGGGGGTGGGGAAAGGAAGAAGAGTTGAACTTAGCTGCAGCTAATGTTTTACTTTTAAAGCAGAGCAAGAATGGCAGCAAATAAATCAAAATATGAATATTTCACGTAGATGCTAGGCATGTAGGTTAGATAGATATTTTTCTACATGGTTGAAATATTCTCTAATTTACTTTAGAAACTCACCATAATACATCTGACTATCACAAAAAATCCTCCAACATGCTCAGTCAAATGCTTGATAAAATGAATTAATTTAAATGGGTTCAATTAAATGAAATTTGAAAGCTTTAGTAATATTTACAGTCCAATTAAACAACTATTAGCCAGAATATAAAGAAAATCCAGTATTTGAAAAACATAATAATGCCACCTGCAGGAAAAAGCTTCAA